GGAAGGTAGTTTGGGAGAAATGTTTTCCTAGGAGCCACAGTGTGAGTGTGTAAGTGGGGTCTTCTGACAGGAGGCTGGCATTTGGCCTGAGGGGAAGAGGCCCTCTGACAGGTAGAAGGTCACCAGCCATCCTCCCTCCCGTATCTTGTCCTGGGCAAGGGAGGGTGCACCGTGCGGTGGGACTCCTCTGGTGAAGTAGGCAGAGCTAATAGCTTAATTGACCACTAGATGTCACCACAGCACCAATTAGTTTTCTGGCTTTTGGCGCTAGTGTGCCTGAACCCAGAGGTAGAATAGCAAGAAAGCCATAGTGACTTCCTTTCAGGGACTTAATACTGCCCAATGTCGGCAGGATTTGCTTTCATTATTATTGTTTTTTCAATACAAGGAAGACCAAAGGGTGGATACAGGTACATTCATTATAAATAAATGGAAAGAGAAAGAAAAGTGAGCGAGGTAGGTCAAGTGGGAATTGTGACCAGACTCCAGTGTTCCGATTTCTTCTAGAAATGACACTTTTCTTTTGGAAATAGTTTTTCCTGTCTCTGTGAGAAGTGATGTTGGGTGGGTGGGCCTTTCAGGCTTCTGAAACAGCAAGTTAATGTTACTTAACTCACTTTACTGAGACTCCAAAATCCATTTTGAACCAGTTGTGGCTCTCCTTTCGGTAAGAATTTGGATAATGTGCTATTGTTGAACATAACAGCATTTTTCATGGTTGAGGGGTATTTTATTTAAGTTCTCTCTTTTTCTTACAATGCAGTCAAATCTGTTACTGCAGTAGATGTTAGCTCACTTTGTTTTATGACCACGGGTTGCACCCTTGACTCCAGTCAGATCTTTTATAAATGCATATGTTTTGGCAAGAAAGTGTGTGGCATAAATTTATCTTCATTGATTTAAAGGCAAAACTTGTGTCAGTATATCCTTCAACATTAAAAAATTTATTGCTATTGCATTTTATTTAAAAATGAACATAACATACATTCTTTTTAAATTTTTATTGAAGAATAATTGACATACAATATCCTATTAGTCTCAGGTGTACATCATAGTTATTTGATATTTATATATATTATGAAATGATCCCCACGATGTCTAATTACCATCTGTCACCATATAAAGTTATAATATTATTGACTATATTCCCTATGCTGTACATTATATCCCCATGACTTATTTGTTTTATAACTGGAAGTTTGTACCCCTTAATTCCCATCACCTATTTTGCCCACCCCCCCAACTGCTCCCCACTCTGGTATCTACTTATTTGTTTCCTATATCTATGAGTCTGTTTCTGTTTTGTGTGTTCGTTTGTTTTGTTTTTTAGATTCCACGTGTAAGTGAAATCATAAGGTCTTTATCTTTGTCTGACTCATTTTGCTTAGCATAATGCCGTTGAGTTCCATCCGTGTTGTCAAAAATGGCAAGATTTCATTCTTTTTTATGGCTGAATAATATTCCATTGTATAATACCACATCTTCTCTATCTATTCATCTATTGATGGACACTTAGGTTGCTTCCATGTCTTGGCTATTGTGAATAATGCCGCAACGAACATGGGAGTACGTATATCTATTCGAATTAGTGTTTTTGTTTTCTTCAGATAAATACCCAGAAGTGGAATTTCTGGATCACATAGTAGTTCTATTTTTTATTTTTTGAGGAATCTCCATACTGTTTTCCATAGTGGCTGCACCAGTTTACATTCCCACCAACAGTGCACAAGAGTTCCCTTTTCTCCACATCCTCACCAACACTTGTTATTTTTGTCTTTTTGATAATAGCAAAAGACTATTCACACCTCAAATATGTCAAAGACTTAGAATGCTGACTAATTCTGTTTTGCAGTATTTGACAACTGAATGTGAAACTAGTTGCCTTCACCTGTCTGATTCCTAGGTTTTGAAAAAAATCCTTTGGAAGTAAATAAGCTTAGTGGGAAAGTAAGCCTATTTCACGTGGTCCAAATCTTATGAACATTGTCTAACTGAACATGGTGTTGTTGACAGGCCCTAAATCAGAAAAAAATGGGTCTCTGGGGAGGAAATGGCCTGATGTGTTCAATATAAGCATCCCCACTTAGCCTTAACCTAGGGCAGTCATACCAGTTTTGGAAAGTGAGCTGTGGCTCTTTCTGTGTAAAAGCAGGTAGAAAGAGAAGTGGGAAAGGCAGGACTCTTTAAGTCTCTATTTTAGAATTCCTATTGGGATGAGAATGCCATTTTTCATGGGAGGTATTCACTCAGAAGGGCTGCCTTACGAGAGCTGAGGAGATAAGGTGCGCCCAGCTTGCAGCAAGGCTTGTGTGGTCTTTGCTGGGTAGTTGGGGCCACAGGGCCTGCTTCTCAAGCTCATGGATGTTTTTGTGTCCTACAGGTGCATAGCTTTAAGGGCTACTGGGAAAAACTGAACTCCAACCTGGAATACGTTAAGTACTCCGAGCCACACTTACTCTATAACAACAGCGTGGTCAGGAGAGAGTGGCACAACCTGATCTCGGAAGAGGTATGTGTGGGTTCATGAGGACAAAGCAAGAAGCAAAATCATAGTGTGTTAGATCCGGGTGATGCCTTAAGTCCTAGGCTGGCTGACGTTGCAGCCCGCCCTGCAGCTGTCAGGCTCTGTTACGTTGTTGCTACTGGTCTCCCAATAGGCTGAGGTGCTTCTCTGATCCCTGTTCTCTTGAGGAGGAAACTCAAGTGCAAAGAGGTTAAGGGACACACACAACATGTTCATAGTAGAAGTAGGATTAACTTCCAGGTCTCAGATGTGTTCTGGCATTACTTGTATAGTCAAAAATTGATTTAAAAAAAATCCAGGTGTTCCCAAATTAGTGGTTGCTAGGGGTTAGGGATGGTGGAAAGAAGAGTGGATGTGACTGACTGTAAATGGGTAGCACGTGGGGGATCTCTGGGCTGATGGGACAGTTCTGTATCTTGATTGTGGTGGTACATTGTGGTACATGAATCTATGCATGTGATAAAATGACACAAAACGGTACACTCATGGTACCAATGTCAGTTTCCTGGCTTTGATATAGTCCTATAGTTATTTCTATAAGGTGTAAACATTGGGGGAGACTGAGTGAAGAGTACATGAGATCTCTCTGTAGCATTGTTGTGTATAGTGTGGTTTTGCTGTATATAATATATAGTTGACTTGCAACTTCCTGTAAATCTATAGTAGTTTCAGAATAAAATGTTTTTTTAAAACAATTTTTTAAGAATCTAGGTGTTCTGATTACCTGGAAAGTATATTTCTTTTTTCTGAAACTCTTAGCTATATAGTGTTATGTCCTTGATGTGATATATATCACCCACAAAACCTTCACCTTCCACCCCTCTGACATGTTCTCACTCCTAGAAAACAGGAGAAAGAAGGTCCGTGGTGTATGTGAGGAGTATTCTTGATAATGCAGTGAAGTAAGTAGAATTAAGGATTACTGTTATCTGTAAGATGATTATCTTTTGCGATCACTCTTTTTGGCTCTGTTTCTCGGAAGTAGCTTACTTTTGTTGTGTATCCTCAGCAAAACGATGCTGTCAGCTTAACGCATGCAGCCGCCTGCACCCTGTTCTGGAGTTTGTTGCTGGAGTTTCTAGTGGGAAAGTTTATATGTTAAACCTTATAGACTTGCCTCCTAGGGACGGATGATTTTAAAGGGATAAGTGGTAAAGAAAGCTCTTATTAATTGAGCACTTTATGGGGTACAGACAGTAGGTTAGTGGGCTGGTGAGCTTGCTTTTATTTTGAAAGCGTGTTTTCTGGATAGATGAGTCATCGCAGTGCTACAAGGATAGGCCCCATTCCAACCCCTGTTCTATTTTCTGTTCCCATTATTTTGAAAAACTGAGAGCTGCAATTGTTCTAAATTATTGTCATTGTTCACACTAAAGGATTTTGAGATTTTATAATTGCCTAATGTGGCTTTTGCCAAGCTGATTAAAGTTTTTGAGGTTTTCAACAGTCTGAGAACAGTTTCTGCAGTGGTTTTATGGGTTTTTGAGGAGGATATCTTTGTATGGTGTTGTGGCTTTCATTTTTTTTTTAAAATAATACTTCCTGTGTAAATAACATTGGCTAATTTCTTTGTAGGGTGATTTCCAACCTAGAAGCAAGGCGTCTGGTTAAGAAAGGACCTGTAATGAAGCCTCTGGATTTCGGTCAGTGTTTTGTTTGTGACACTGTTCTTCCTACCACTGTGGGCTGGCAAGAAAATCACTTCCGATAGTGTAATGAAGGCAGCACCCTTTAATATTTTCCTGTCAGAGTGGCCACCAGCTCCTTCCATGCCTCTCTTGCCACCAGGACCTTTAGGGACAGCTGCTCACTGTGCTTTTGCTAGAGGAGTCCCTGAGGGTTGGCCTTCTGGTTTTCATTATTTTTCCTCATAGAGTTGGTCTAATTAACATGCCCTCTGGCTGTACCCTCAGGGTGCACTGCAGCAATTCCCTTGCCTTAGGGCTGTTTTCTCTCCAGCTGTGGGATCATGCAAAGGTCTTTGACTTGTATGCTCCTTTCATTTTGGTTAACACCTGGGCACCCGCTGGGGTGGGTCAGAGGGGAACAAAGATGAGGAGCCTCTAGGTGAGCAGTGTGGTTATGAGGGAAGAGCATGGGCTTGGAGCTGGATGGAACTGGACTTAAATTCCAGCTAGGCTACATACTAACCATGTGCTCTTGGGCAAGCCATTTATCCATTTTGTGCGTTGTCCTCCTCAGGGGACAATGAGGTCCTCCTCAGGGGACCTCCTGAGGGGTCAAGAGGCATTGTGCCCTCCCACAAGGAGTCGGCAGACCATGACCAGGGAGGTTCTGGCCTCTTGACCTGCTGTGTCTCAGGCATTGTGAGAGGGGAAGAGTCAGCAGCAGCTGCTGTTACAGGAGTGAGAGGGCAGATCCTCCAACAAGACGTGTTTGCCTGCCCCTCCAGTCTTGCTGGTGCCGTGCAAATCATGGTGGAGAAAGTGCCATTTGGTTGAACCTTATACATCACTTTTCCATCTTGATCTACTTACCTTTTCAGTCCGATAACTTGTGCCAATTAGTATTCTTTGCCACAGTAATTGACTGGTCCCTCGAGCTCAGTAACTCCTGAAGTCACTGAACTCTGGAGGGTCAGAGAGAAGAGTCATGCAATCCTTCCACCAAGTCCCCATCCCCCGGTTTACGGCCCTCATAGGGTTAAGAGAGGCCCACGTGGCTCTGTCTCAGTGAAGCAGAGGTTCTCAGAGATTCTTAGAGTGCGGTGAGTTTTCGAGTTGAAGGGAAATCCAAGCCTGAGCCTGTTGGTATTGGGAAGTGTGTTCCTTGTTTTCTTTCTTTCTTTCCCGGTCGGTCTCTCCCTCACTGTTTCACAGAACTCTCTGCGTGTCACCTGAGTGATAAGTTCAGCTTGCAGGACTAAGTCACACTTAGCTAATGAAAAATTTTCATCCTATCAGGGAAGTGTTATGTTTTCCCAATGACTCAGAGAAGGGAAACCCAGGCTGTGATTCCTCTTCCTTCTAGCCCATTTCCTGAAAACTGCCCTGCTTGACTATTGCTCTGTTTAATTCCAGAGCCAAGGTTAACACCCCTCTTCCAGGAGGAAGACAACCACCAGAGGCTGCTCATGGGGCTGGTAAGTGGTCTGTGGGCTGTTTAGGTGCTGGCAAACAAAGGGCTCCAAGAAGAGGG